CTAACTGCGCAATGCTGTGACATATCAACAAAATGAAATCGTAACTTTGTAGAGAAAGGTCTTAGCTTCAAAATTACGGCTTATTTTTTTGGTGTTACATTTCCATTTTTGGAGTTAGAGAAGGATCTACAAGAACAATAAAAAATTGTGGGACTAGGTGTCTTGCACTATACAAAAATATTTTTTATTTTATATTTTTTACTCATTATTAATAATATAGGTCACACGACCATTAATATTAATATCAAGAAACCGTTATTATTAAAAATTCGAATAAATATCATATCAAGAAGAATTTTATTATCATTAAACCATTCTTAGACCTCAATCCATTAGTATTCATTAAATTGAGGCACACTAATTGAGATTCACCGTGTAATATAAATTTAAATTATCAAATTAAAAATATAAATTTAATATGACGTTAAAAAATTTTTAGGAAACTGGTTTGGTTCGAATCGATTCGAATCCTGTTTTTTTTGAATTCGAATTGAATCAAATTGACTACGAATCGAATCGAATCGAATCGAATTTGAGGGTGATTCGATTCGATTCGTTCGGAGCCTTACCCATCTATAATTGCAACAAAACGTTGCAATTTTTTACAACAAAATGTAGTAAACTTTTGTCCAGCATGGCATGCCATAGTATAACTCAAAGAATATGGACTTTGTGACCTCCAATGCACCACCACCTACAGATGGCTAGAGCTGTAGCATAATTATAAGTTTAAATAACCAATTTATATTTAATGAATTCTCTATGGGGATGTACTCTGTGTAAAGTTCTCGGGATATAGTACACGGAAGAAACGTTTATATTTTCGATAGCTTAGGTTCTATAATTTGCATATATATTTTCTGTATTATCTAGAAATTTTGATTTTAAAAAAATAATAGAATTTTTATAAAGTTGTTAGTTGAAATTTTTTGAGCTTTTGTTGAAAATTTTCGTCATTCGATATTCAGGCTGTAGAAAATCTAAATTGATGTCGAAATGCCGAAATGTTTAAAATGTACCCTTTTTCAGATTCAAGAGGGCATTCATTGAACCAACATTATAAAATTAATATGGTAAGATTCATTATTATAGGTTTGAGATAAATATTTATCGATCAATCCATTATACTGCAACGTGTAATTTATATAAATCGGGATAAAAATTAAAACATTAATACAATTTTAAAAAGTAATTTTACGAAAGAATGCGTTTAATTTCTGTGCCAAATCTCCCTCCAATTTTTTCTATTCGTGTTAAAGCTCCCCTGGGCTCTATATATAAAGCACATGTGACATTGGACACTACTATAGAGTTATTGCTGAAGTCCACTAAAGAATATCTTGGAAAAGAAAAAACATATGACTATAAACTTGTATATAATGAACAGGACATACAATATGCTGATACTCTTAAAAAGTTAGGATTAAAGGTGGGTGTTTATTTTTAAAAATACTTATGAAATGTAAAAGACTTGCTCATAAGTAATGTTGGTGAATAATTATTTTTATTATTACAATAGGAAGGAGACTTAGTTGAAACAAAATTGATTCCATTTAAAATTTATGTGGAAATGCAAACTGGTGAAATTATAGAACTTTATGTGACTGAGAGAAGCACTGCTATTCATGTTAAAAGAATGATTGCGAATTCCAAAGGTATTCCTATTTATGAGCAGGTTCTTTTATTCGACGAAAAAGAATTGAAAGATACTAGCATCATGGAAGACTTTAAGATTCAAAAGGAGTCAAAATTGTTCTTGACTTCAAAGAAAAAGGAACAAACTGATGAGATTACAGAATATCATGTTTTTAATGGAAACCAATTGAATAATGTTGGCATCTTGGGAAATTGTGACATTCAAAAACAACAAGAATCAGAATTGCACATATTTCCAAAGAAAAAGGATCATCATATTTTTGTGAGAACAAAAACTGGAAAAATCATTGATCTGTCAGTAGAAACAAGTAATACCATTGATGCTACAAAAAAAATGATATATGGTAAAACCAATTTCCCCCCTGATCAACAACATCTTATTTTTGCTGGCAAGCTATTAGAAGATGGATGTACATTGAGTGATTACAATATTCAAAATGAGTCCACAGTGGATCTTGTACTTAGAGTAATGCAAATTTTTGTGAAAACAATTACTGGAGGAACTATTACTCTGGAGGTAGATCAAAGTGATACCATTGATAATATAAAACAAAAGATAAAAGATAGAGAAGGCATTCCTCCTGATCACCAATGTATGATTTTTGCTGGCAAGCAAATGTTAAATGGACGTATCTTGAGTGATTACAATGTTCAAAAGGAGTCCACATTGCATCTTGTACTTAAATTACGTGGAGGAATGTTTCAAGAAACCAGTGGACGTCTAGAATTCAGTGCATTGCCACCACTTACACAATATCTGCAGATGCAAGTTCCTGAAATACATATGCAAGGCAAATCTCATGTTGGTATTGCTTGTAATTATTGTGGTAAAAAAGAATGGAAAGGTGCAAGGTAAAGCAAAATAATTAACTTGGCCAGTTTTTTTTTAGAAATTATCAAAATATTTATTTTGTTTCACTAATGCAATTTACTTGTATTGCTTTACTAATAGGTTTAACTGTTCAACATGTTTTGATTATGACTTGTGTTTTGAGTGTATCAAAATGGCCAACTTGCTTCATGATAAACAACATAATTTTGTGGAATACTTGGATCCAGTAAATGAAAAAGTTACTACAAAAAAAGATATCACAACTAATCCTGTTACTGTATTACCAATACTTCCAACAACAAAAGAAGAGATGTTGAATTTATTACATGAGGAAGAAAAGCGAAGGCTGTCACCAGAAATGCAACAACAATATTACAAAGTTGGAAGCGATCCCACATCTGGCAAGGACTGGATGGATGTCACTGACCAAATGCAATATGAGTTGGTTCGAGAGTTTGGTTACTCAGATGAAGCTGTACAATTATTAAGACGTGCTCCACAACTTTATCAAGGTGAAAAGACATTCTCCTTTTTTTTTGTCATTATATTATTCTTAGCACTATTCATTAATTTTCTTTTTTTATTTTTTTCAGATGATCCTGAATTTTATAACACTCAATTGTATGTTCGCAACAACATTGCTTCTGTTGGAGATCTCAAAGAAGGAATGCCAGCGCCCAATTGTCCACTGGTTTCCCTAAACACTACAACAATGAATGTTGAAACTATCAGTTCACCACCAAAAATAATTCAATTGCATTCTCTTTATAAACCAGGACGACCTTTTGTCCTTCTTGGTGGATCACACACTTGTCCTTTATATCGTTATATATCTCATGTGCTCAATGACATTTATAAGAAATATCAAGGAAATGCAGACTTCTACATGATTCAAATTCGTGAAGCACATGCCAGTGATGTTTGGCCAATTGGTAATATCGTTGATGTTAAAGAACACCGTACATTGGAAGAACGATTAGCAGCTGCACATGAGATGGTTAAAGCTACTAATCTGAAGATTCCTGTGCTGGCTGATACAATGGATAATATTTTTTTGAAGTTATATTCACCTTGGCCATTCCGATTTTTTGTAATTGTAGATGGTATTTTGAAACTTGTTGGAATGCCAAAAGAAGCACGCTATGATACAACAGATCTAGTCAATTGCTTGGATATTCTTATTTAAAAATTATACAATGAGCTCTCTCAATTTAATTGTGAAAAAATAATTTCATATCTGTTTATATTATCCATTAATAAATATATATTATTTACTGGAAACAGTTGTAATATACAAATTGTCATAATGTTACCATTAATATAAAGAGGAAGAAAATGATTTTAATGAGCATGTTTGAGCTTTTGAGTAAATAATTTGAAAGAAACTTTGCTTATATATTGAGGTCGTGATTTGGATCTTTTCATCATAACATTCAGTTCAATATGATTATTACTTGAAATTGAAGATTTATATTATAGTTATTCTACCATTTAAGAACATTTTACGGTACAGAAACTTTGTCATTGTAAATTCTCCTACAAATAATTGTGATTTCCTTGAATTTTATTATAATAGAAAATAAAAGTAATGCAATATATTTTTACACCGGATTACCATGAGAACCAAAAATATTACTTAAATCTTGCTTCTTCTTCTTTTTCTCCTTCATCTTCTTCGTTGATAATTCCAGGTTCTTTCAGTGAATGACATTCGTGATTTTTTATTACGCGCGTGGCGCGGGTTTTGAATAGTCTGGAGTAAACAACGCAACAAACGGTTTTCATATATCCAAAAAAATGTTCAATCCAACTATCCAATCCATCTTGTTATCTAACTACAACTAATTTAAACCCCCCCCCCCCATTTATAAAAAAAAAGGAAGATATTAATAAATTAGGGATTGGAACCGGTTTGGGTGCATCCGGGTCACCCGGGTGGAAGAAAGATAATATTTATTTGTAATTTTCTAAAATGCTAACTTATGATTCCTCTTGAACATAATGTATTTAAGTATCTATTACAACCAGTATATGGAATTCGTCATAATGCAAATTTAGTTGTGCATGTTTTTTGTTATTAAAATTAAATGTATTCATTATCTATTGATATCTATTTTGCTGGTTTTTTATATTGCATTATCTCCCCAACTGAATTCCATACACTGATTACAACTATAGTTCTTAAAGTCATCCTCTATGTATAATAAAGGTTTTTCAGTGATTAATCTACTTGCAAACTTGATTATTTCGAGTAATTCAATAATTGATTTATCTAGTTTATTAAAATGCTTATTCCCGATTAACAAGTATGAAAGTTTGACGTGTTAACAAATTTATTATATATCATATGTAAAAATTGTAAATAATAATTGTTGTAATTATCTTGGAAATGACATTATTTGTCGTCCCTTTTTTTTTTATTAATTAACGATTAAGAGTTCTTTTTCATGTAAGATCAATCGAGTAGTAGTTAATCTAATGGATTATGTAACTACTACTTAGCTAGACTATGTATTTACTAGGAATTACGATTGGTTCGCATTTGTATCGTATTTTTAGGTACGACGAGTTTGCATTTGCGTCGTACTTCGAGACTGCTACCTACTTACTAGACTGTTACCAAAGCTTTTCAAGAAAGTGCAGGTGGTATCAGTATTTAAAGTCAATAATCTATATGTTTATACACAAATAAAATATCGTGTGCCTTTTTTGGGCGTTAGAATTTGTTCTTGTTATCAGGTAGGTCCGACGTATTACTGGCAGAAATAATTTTAATTCAAATATATTATTATCAAACGGCTGATCGTATCACGTGATTATAATATAGACCTACCTGATAATTTACAATTGATTGGTGCGTCCGACTTATCGAGGTTTATGGTTTGAAACATTTTGACAATATGATATTCACTTCTTTGATCATTTAATGCATTGCTAAAAATGGACAATGAGAAGATACAATAAATGCATGTGCATTAACTTCTTTTTGATGTTTGGTTCTACACAAAAACACATTTTTTACATCAGTGTATAATTTATTTTCATTAAACTATTTTTCAATTATTGAATTTGTTTTATTTGGGTGCTCATAAATAAAGTTGTGAAACCAATTTTGTCTATTTTTGACATTAAATATTGATGTCATTGTTCCTTATTTTTCCCTCATTTGGAATTGACACCTACTATTTGAGCCATGAGAACAATTAATCCTTTGGGACACAGTTCACTCACTCACTGTCCATATGATAATAATTAAAAAACTACACGTCCTTAAAGAAGGGAATAATGATGTTAATCTCTCCTAATACAGCCAGAACTCTAAACCGAAGTAATCATGTATATTCGTTTTATCAAACATCGTCTTAACAAGTTAGTTCTGACTGTATCCATATAGAGATATATTAAAGAAAAAAAAAGCAAATCTTTCTAGAAAGTACCATTTTATTAATATATATACATATGATATTTATATTTTATTGAAATGTTGTTATTTTTTTTTATTTTTTTTTTTTCTCATGAAAATTTGTTGTTATCAATTTTTTCTTTCTTTCCTTTAATTTTGAAATGTTCTCGGGATTATTTTATTATTATTTTGCTGTCATTTTCTTTATTTTCATTTATTAATATTTTTATGTACTAATTTCTTTAGTTGGAACTTCTATGGGCTTTTCTTGGAAATTCGCTAAGTTTTTACATTGTTTTATTGTTATATTGTTATATTGTTATATCGTTCACATTTTTCATCGTTTCTTTTTATATAAATTTTGTTTTGTAGTTCTTCGATCCTCTTGGCCTAGAGTTGATCCTTCCTTGCTTTTCTCTTGTCAGTCTCTCTTTTCTCTCAGTAAAAGTAGAACTGTGGGCCTATACCCTTTTGAATTCCTTTTAATACCCATTTCTTTGATCATTGGATGATCCTAACATTGATTTATGAATTTTTAAATATTCCTTTTCTTCTGTTCCAAATCTTTGTTTCGATTATCCGTTTTCTTTCTTATTACTGGTTTCTTTGACGTTCTTCCAGTTTATCGAAAAGAATTGTCTTGTTAGTGGCTGGTGGCCATCGTTTGGTAGGTTTTTATAATATTTCATAATCCCGAGAAACATGAATTTGTAACAAGTATAATGATACTATGAGTAATAAAGTAAATTTTGAAATGTATTTAATATTTATTGATTCATATTTATTGATGTTTATGACAATTATTACTGTTATTGTTGTTATTGTTATTATTATTATAACCATTATTATGTGGGGGAGCGAAATAATTGATAAATTGAATGGATCAGGCTAAATAAGCCTTTACCAGCGAACGGTTTTTAGGTTTTACTTAATATGGGTTTATCAAGTCGAAATTTGTTCTCAAGCCAAGGCTTGTTTTCTTTACGATAGCGTGTAACAAGCAATTTTCTTGTATGTATCCATTACGTTTTTAATGCGCGTTTTGTTCTTGCTATCAGGTAGGTCTGATGTATTACTGGTAGAAATATATATTTTTTTTTTTCTAAAATTATTGTATCACATGATTATAATATAAAGTTACAAAAAATAAGTTTGTTTATTTCTGCTAGTGATTATATAGGACCTACCTGATAATATAATTTATCAGCTACATTTCATTAATGTTTAAAAATCTTGTAATAAAAATGAAAAGAATCAAATATATTGTTTCTATACTATATGCCTGAAGCAGAAAAAAGCTAAATTATACATTACGGAAAAATAAAAAAGATATCAACCCTCAGGGATATCGAAGTGTTATATAAATAGTATGGCCACGAAGTAGATGCGAAGCAATTATAAATCAAATAAATGATATTATGCTTCTAATTCTAAAATGTGCTTTTGGAATCTAATCTGCAATTGATTTTCTTATATTATAATCCAATTGTAATAATAAATATGTTCATTATAAATTGTATCAGGTAATGGATATCGGTCACTTGCGAAATTAAAAATCAAAATAACTGATGTCTATGTCTACATAAATGTGAAATTTTGTGTCGTGAAATATCTTGAGCCTTCGTCAGAAAATCTTAGATCAGAATTCCTAAAAAACCCCAAGATATGTTTGGTATTACGAAGACCTATAATTATTACAGAGCATCTTCGAGAATTGAAATTGAATAAAATCATAACTTTAAGTATCTTTTTGCATTGATCGACTATAATCACATGTTTAAAAAAAAAGTTTTTAAATATATGATTTAGTAAAATATCATGTTTTACATTTGATTAAAAGTAATTATCAATTATCATATATAACAATACTTCTCGCTTTGAGAATGTTCCCTAACCTTAATCTTCCGCGATCTACTTTTTCATAAAGAAGTTCGTAAGTATATTTGGCTTTATTTTCCTTCTCTCTTTCTTTTAAATTATTTTGGATGTTTAATGATTCTACTTCTTTAATAAAATTTATCAAGTCATGATATTATTCAAAGGAATTCTTGACCATTTAGCTACCACACCACCAAATTCGCGAATTTCACGTGACCAATTTTAACAATAATGAAATAAATAATAACTAGAGATGGGCAGATCAGTACTATACGTATAATACTATACGTATAGTGATACGTATAGTGCGTATAGTTCTAGAAAAATATAGTAGTAAATGTAAATCAATTCCTGTTTAGGTTATTGCCAAATAATAGATGTGATGTTACACATTAATACTCTTCTCACAATAAATATATATTTTAAACTTGCCTGCAATTTGGCAACATTTTAATATTAATGTTCTAGTTCAATATCTAGATGTGAAAAACATTTACGTCTTTGTCCAAATGCCACAATTAAAATCAAAAGAAATTATTTTGGAGAACATTTTAATACTTCAAATACTTGGTGTACAGGTAAATTACAACATAATTGAAGAATCAAATAAAAATGAAAGAAGTTTTGATTTTTATGATATTTAATTCATTCAATATAATTAATGATTCATAAATAAAAACCTAAAAAAGTGTAGGTTGAATAAATTAAAGATTTATGCTTATCGTAATAAGCAAAATTATTTTTTTTTTCTTATTATTATTATTATTCAGTTTTGTATTACATTGGAAAATCACCCAATCAAAATTCAACACTACTATACGTACTATACGTACTATACGCACTATACGTAAAGTATTGTATAGTGTCGTATAGTGTTCAACTATACGCCATTTGCCCATCTCTATTGAGAACGTTCTTTGAAAGAGAGACCCTTCTCTTTAGAATATTTAATTAATATTCAAGAAAAAATAATCTTGATTCGATGGAACTGGAACCTAGATGATAGTACTTTAATTTATTATAAATAGTGTTAGATTTCTACCTTGTATTTTTCTTTGCATTTCCTGAGATGATACTCCACAATAGAGTATAGAAAGACGTTAGGAATGTCAATGATCCAGTCGGACCCCTGAAACCTTGAACAAAATGACAAAAAAGACTGGAAAGAATGTGTTAATAATTGCATCATACACATCCTTTTCAGATTTGCCTGTCAAGAATGGATACATTCGCAAGTGGAAGGAGTGAAAATAAATTTGATTTTACTTGCTTGCTTTGGTTGAATAAGGGAAGATCCCTTTAAAGAGAAATAAGATAGGATGAAGTTTCTCCCATAGAACTACAATGTATTTGTAATTGACCAAACAATGAGAATTAATTAGTATATAATAATATTCTCTTTGGACTTATTTGTGTGTAGCTCCTATGCAGTAAGCAAGCTTTATTTTGATATAATCATTATTGCACTTTGTCGTTTTTGTAAAATAAACTAATATTAATTTACTTATAAAGGAACAATCAATATACTTGAAAATAAGAAAATAAATTCCTTTCCTGGAAATTGCGAAATTATTCCAACGGGTAGGTTTTATGCAAAAAAAAAATCTTTATTTTCGATGAACTTTTACATTGATGCAAGTTATTCCTTCATCAAATCGGGACAAGATTAATAGAAATTATTAAAAATATGAAATTAATAATAATAATAAATAATGTAATGATTTTATAGAATAAAGAAAAAATATATTTACCTTTTATCCTTATAATTAGCAATATTCACCAGATTATTAACGAATTCTTTAATTAATCTGATCCTGAAAATGGAGAACTTTCTTCCATTACCTATAATTAAAAGTTCCAATGAAAATACTTTCATTCATCATTATACTCTATACGATCTACTTGAACAGATTTTTTGGTCATTCATTGTTTGAATTTTGTGACTATAATTTTGAATTGTGTCTTCAAAAAAAAAAAAAGACGCACCAACTACTGTCCCTCGAACATCATATCTTTATGTATCTTATAAATTGCACCATAATTGTAGAGTTAATTGACGATCCTTTTATGAAAATTTGGGATAAATTCAAATCTCAGAAGAATCACCATCAAATCCATTTCCTATACTCCTATTGCACTTTTAAATAAAGGCCATTTGGCAAGCGAATTACACTATAGACAATTGTTATTACCTTTGTATGGATCAATTTCAATCTCTACATGATGGTATTAGTTTACTTTTTCGCCGTTATCGTAGCAAAAACAATCAACGTGGAATTAAAGGAGATTCTGTATAAAGTATTTGTCTTCCATCAGAATCAAAATTAATCAATGGTATCAACAAACATCTTTCAAAAACATCCTATTGGTGCTCCTAAAAATTTTTATTTGCATGTTAACCCACATTGGATGAAACTGATATTTGGTATAAAAAAACATCTTGTGAGTGGATAATCACTAAAAACTCCAATATTTTTTTTTTCTAATTTCTTTCATTTTTTGATCGTTAAACAGATTTTATATACATAATCTTTGGAGCGTGATTATCATTATCATCACCATCATTATTATTACTTTTTGATCTAGCATAATGGACTTTTTGAGGAGTACACACTTTAGTTTTTACTTTCAAAGGATTTTTAATCTCATTTTCTTCTGTTATTTTCAATACACACCTTTGAGTACCTTTTCTACTAATAGATATTTTTCTTTATCTTCTTCAACAATTTTCACATCTTTTCTAAATTTAACAGAAGCTGTTATCTTTTTTATTTTTATTTCCTTCGATAATCGCTGGTGTTTTATTTTTTTTTGAACTTTCATCAAATGCTTCTACAAATAGTTTTGGTTCATTGTAAGTCCTAATACAATTACTACTCAAGATATTTTCCTTTTTCAATTTAACATCATCTATTAGATCCTTAAACCATCCTTTTGCAATCATACTTGTATGAAATTTCAAGAGTTTGCTACTCTTCTTAAAACTATAAAAAAGTGTCCGCATACTATTCCACAATTTGACAGGAGTATGCAAGTATACACATACGAACCATCGACAAAAATAAGGACGTATTGGTTTTTATTTGAATTATAATAATGTAATTTCCAAATTTCCAATGGATTTTCTTTAGCCGCCAAGATTAATTCACGTAATGAAGAACCTCTTACATCAAAAATATAATTAGAATTATCGATACATAATTCTTCAGTTGTAGAAATATTGTATCAATAAAAATATGAAGACACCATTTTTATATATGTCATTTTTAATTCTTTCAAACACCTCAACAAGACTTGAATTAGAATGATAATTTTTTTTCTTGATGATTGCGTGATAGACTTCTAAGCGCAATGTTGTTTTGATACCACCTATCATTATTTGACGTTTCCAACGCCATGCCCACTTATTATACTGTATAATTGCTTATTTAGATAATTGTCAACATTGCCATTAAAACATTTTTGTATCAATTGATAATTTTCTATTTTGTTATCTCGTCAATATTGCAACTCTATCACTATGTGATGGATCATATATCTAAGATTTTCTTGACAATTTCAAAACATAGGTTCAAAGCATCTTTGCTAATTGGGTTCTTGTTTAAGATTTTGTAAATAGATAATTGGATGGATGTGTATAGTTGTTGTTGGACATTGAGGAATTGGGGATTTGTATTTTAGAAAAATATACAGATTGGGTAAACGTTTTGTTTTATTCTTTAGATGATAAATGGCAGTGTGTACACAACTTATAAACAATCAATAGCCTTTCAACAATTTATCAACGCATTGAAATTGCACCCACATTGTAGATTAACAACGATAATCATCTAATTGTGACTAGCGCACATTTAATATTATAAATAAAAATTAGCTCGGAAAAAAAGTTTAAATAAACATTTATCATCAAATGGAAGCGATCATTAATCAACATTGTAAACATTGCAAATGATAACAGTCAACATTGTCAACAAACAATGCAAATAATTATCCAGGAATGTCACTGCCTTGTTTTATAGATGCTTCTACAATTGATCGTGTTTTTAATGACGATGTAAATGTTGATACTTTTTTTAACTGCTTATGCGAGTAGTTTCACGATTACTCATGTGTTCGATGACAATAGCAGATATATAATTGTAGGTTACTATGTTGTTGATGGTGCTTTACTCTTTCCCCTTGTACAAATATATGAGTTTGAGTAGTAGTGGTTATCTTTTCATTTACTTTTATTTTATGAGAGGAGTGAGTGTCATATAATATTTCTTGTCGATATATAAAGAAAACCTAGAACCCCGGGTTTAAGATCTTGGACAATTGGTAATAGAGGAATATAAATAAACCGATATTATTCTATTGTTACAATTCTATATATGAAGACATAAAATCAATTCAAAGAATATCAATCAAAAAACACTGACCATCCTGATCCAAGTAATCAAGTTGTAATTGTGAATATATGCGTTTAACTACTTAACTTACATTATGCTATATACCTGATTTTCGATTAAATTATTTGAATTTTAATAGGTTCTAAACATTATATGCATAGATACCTACTAGATCCTTGATATATTATGAATTTTGTAAATTAAGATGATGTTTTGATCAAAAGTAACTTATTAAAATTATGCTAATGAGCGGTGCACACGTAAAGAATTTTCACATAGTAAAAATATTGCATGTCCCATGTTTAATAAAAGACATAGAAGATGCAGAGTTTAAAATAAAAGATTAGTCAATGTCATGAAGTTATATTCAACTCCACGTAAAAGCAACCCTCCGAGACGAGCTCTGGTTAGGTCTGCTACCACGACTACCTTTTATTCATCAACTCGAGAATTAATTAATAGTTGTAACTCCACATAGTATTTTTGTGAGTGGAATTTAATTGAAATGTCCTTAACACTTGAATGCGTCCAAGGGATTGCTACGAAACTCATTATTTGATTTTCAAAAGAAAAAGAAAAAAAAAACAAATAAAAAAATAAAATAAAAACTGACAAAATCAAAATAAAACAAAGATAAAATAAAAAACAAAATAAAAAAAAGTTAAAATCACAATGAGTCCCGGCATAAATATAAAATGGAGCCCCGTCTGAAGCCACTCCACCTTATGTGATACCTTGCATCGAAGGAACGGAAGCTCAACTTCTTTTAGGCTACGGGTCGGTATAAATAACCCTATACTATTAAGGACACATGAATAAAGAATAGTTGCAAGGTTGCTGGTTGTTCGTTGTTACAAGGTTGCCGCTCGTTCGTTGTTGCAAGTTTAATGACAAGTATCAAAAAAAAAACTAGATAATTATTGCAATTATAGTAATATAGTAATGAAGGTAATGAAGATGGTTGCTGGTCCTTTGTTGTTGCAAGGTTGCTGGTCGTTCGTTGTTGCCAATTATTGTTGCCATTTTTAATTTTTTGAAATACTAAAATTTTAAAATTATTACTAGATCAAACATACAGGAACAACATATCATTGAAATATACTTTTTTTTTTGCTTTTTTTTCACATCGCAATTGAGTTACATTATTTTATAAAATTAATTAATATAAATTATTTTATTTAATTACCAATCATATATATCTTCTATTTATATATTATTTAATCTAATTTGGATATCACATATTTTTGAAAGCGTCATCATGATACATTTATAATATTTTCTGTAAAAAGTAATTACTGAGTTTTGATGTTAAAAAGAATTGCAAATTTCAATCTAAATGTATTCAAATTAGTAATAGTAAGGAGATTCTTGATGAGGATCCAATATTTGATTATTGTCCTTCTTTCTGAATGGATTAAAGTTAGATGCCTTTGGCAGGAGGAGATATACTACATTCAACTAACCATTCACCTTAGGTAAGAAGTAATTTTTTTGTTGTCTCTTACAATAAATGTAGAAAAATTCAAATCAAAAATTATTACATAAAAGTATGATCCAAAGTAATACATAAAAGTGATACGCAAAGTGCAAACAACTTTTTTGAATCAGTAGTACGTCAAAGCATTTTTTTTTTTCGAATCCTAGTATTGAAGTCAACAGCGTCACCAAAAGTCCATCGTTATGGATGTCAATAATGATCACTAAAAGTGTACTTTTTTTCATCAACATTTTCGTGTCATCACTAATGCTCCACTATAATGGCCTCAAAAATGACGACGAATTCATAAACCAATTGTAATCCAAATCGGGACCCAAAGTGGGAATCGAAGTCAAACTCAAATCAGCATAACCTACATGATTAAAGGTATGACGCAAATGCAAACTAATCATACATCGAATGTGGATTCTTCCATAAATCCAGAATGGGTCCTCAAATGAAAAAAACAATCACGAATTCTTCAAGCCTAAAAGTACAACGCAAATGCAAACTCGTCATACCTCAAAGTATGATGAAAATGCAAACCAATCGTACTATAAGTAGGTAACAGTCTAGGAAAAAAGCAACTTATTTGCTCTGCAGCCATAGGTAATATAGTCACTTCAAAATCATTATGTCAATTTAGGTAGAATGTTTTAATGTAAAAAAAAAAATCAATAATAAGAATAATATATTAATAATAATATAATAATGATTAAAGAATAATTCTGCATGTGACTGTAAACAAATTTATTGTTAAGTTTGTTTATTCCTAGACATTTTTTTACTACTTCTACTACCATCAATAATAACATCAAATACATTGTATAATCATCATAAATATTTTAATAATAGCAGAGGAAAAGTATCCGTATTCAAAGAAGGGATTAAAAAAGATTATTAGTATTTTATTTATTTTGATGAAATAATATTAATTTATAATTTATATTAAAAAAAAAAATTGTAAGATAAATCATCAGTGATTTTAAGAGAAGTCATTAAATAAGCATTCTTATTCTTTGGTTATTCTGATCTATTTTATATTTTCACATATTATTAATAATATTATTATTGTCAATATTAATATCTTCTTCACTTCCCTCTTCTATTTTTTTTTTTTTCTTTATTTATCAATGAAAATAATAATGAGGGTAATTAATTTAAAGTAAAATTATTTATAAATGAATAGTTATAAATTAATTTTTACAACACAATCTAATTAAATAGTTTTTTGTTGTTTTTATAATAAATAATCAGGAAGTAAGTGTATTATACTGTAAATCAATTTTACAATGCAAGGTAATTATCAAAAAAAATCATCTAATTAAATAATAATATTTTTATTTCTTAATACCCAGATGGTAAGAATTATATTATAAATTAATTTTTACAACACAAAATAATTTTTATTGAGACATCATCTAAATTAAATTTATTTTTATTTCTTTATAATAATCAGGGAGTAAGTATTGTAATATATATAAATCAACAAATAAATTCTATTATGTAAATAAATTAAAAATTTTGCTTCCTATACTGAATAGATTGTAAGTATTATATTATAGATTAACCTTTACGATATAAAATAAATTTTATTAAAACATCACTAATTAAATAAATTTATTTTTATAATAATTAGGAAGCAAGTATTATACTATAATTAATTCTTACACCACAAAATTATAATGACCAGTGGATAAGTTATATGATAAATTTAATTTTAAAACACAATAATTTTTATTAAAACATCATCTAATTAAATCTATTTTTTATTTCTCAAGGCATATTTTATTATAAATTAATTTCCTTTATAGTAACCAGTTTGTAAGTATTATATTATATTATAATTTACTTTTACAATGCAAAAAGCTTATATTAGAACATCATCTAATTTTGTTCAGGTTCTTGGCTTCAAATAATGATCTTTGCCAGGTATCATTCTTCATTGTATTGGTTTTGAGTTGATAGGGGGGTTACCTGAGCTACTTGTCACGAGTTTGCTTAGCAAGTTGTGGAATTCAAAAGAGCCATAATCATCATATTCCAGTGGAGGTGATAGCTTAATGCTTTAGCTCAGGTAATTCATTCAGTCCACAAAAACATACAATACTTTGATAAATGTGTTATTGGTGCAACTAAAGAATAGAAAGGGCCTTGGATTCAAGTGATTTTCTTCCATGCAAGAAAGAATATTTTATTAAATCTGACATCTATATTCAATATGTTGGATTTATTTCAAACTCTGCAAAATGTTTTCATCAGGTCATTATATGGGGGCTGTTCTAGGAAAAAGTGGGTTTCGACCCTCAGATTCAAAAATGAGATATTTATACCAAATTAATCTA